TCGTTTCTTCACATACTCCACCTCGATCCTGTTCCGACAACCCGAAAGAACCTTCCATTCTGTCCTTTCGTCCCTGCTTCGACTGCACCGCCGAAGCCCTAGCTCAACTTGAGCTAGATCTAGTGTTTGATAACACATAGATCACTTCTCCCATCCTCAAACTTCTTTACAGGTAGAGGTTTGGTGAGAAGGTCAGCTGGGTTTATGCTTGTGTCGATTTTGGTCACAATTACATCCCCATCTTCTATCACATCCCGAATGAAGTGATAACGCGTCTGTATATGCTTCGTTCTTTCATGGAAGACGCTATTCTTGGCCAAACAAATCGCGCTTTGAGAGTCGCAGAAGATTTCAACACTCTCTTGATGAAATCCAAGCTCACAGGTAATCCTCTTTAGCCATAGAGCCTCTTTTGCGGATTCTGCTAAGGCCATGTACTCTGCCTCTGTTGATGACAAAGCCGATATCTGTTGCAGGCCGGATCTCCAACTCACGGTGTTTCCTCCTACCTGAAAAGCATATCCTGTAATAGATCTCCTTCTATCCAGGTCAGTCGCGTAGTCGCTATCACAATAGCCTTTAATCTCAAACTTCTCTGACTTCTTGAAAGTTAAACAGCAGTTTGAAGTTCCTTTTAGATACCTGAGTAACCAAATAACCGCTTCCCAATGTTTCATGTTAGGAGAACTCATAAAGCGGCTCACCAGTCCCACAGCATGAGCGATATCAGGTCTGGAGCCAACCATCGCATACATGACACTTCCGACTGCGCTGCAATAAGGTATGTTCCTCATTCTGTACTCAGTCTCAGCCTTAGCTTCTTTACTTGTGCTAGAAAGCTTAAAATGACACCCCATTGGTGTTTGTACTAACTTAGGATCAGTCACACCAAAAGCCCTTAAGATTTTATCAATATAAGTTTCTTGAGATAGAATTAGAGTACCTTTCTCCCTATTTCTGATAATATCCATGCCTAGGATCCTCTTAGCTGGCCTGAGATCCTTCATTTCAAACTCCTTTCCCAACATTTCCTTTACCTTCTCTACCTCATGTAGATCTTTAGCTGCTACCAGCATATCATCCACATATAGCAGTAGGTAAACATACTTCTCTTCACCATACTTTCTGAAATACACACATGTGTCAAACTGACTTCTTGTAAACTTTTGTGCTTTCATGAACTTATCAAACCTCAAATTCCACTGCCTTGGAGACTGCTTTAGACCATACAAAGATTTTTGTAGTAGGCACACCTTGTCATCTTTAGCATACCCCTCAGGTTGTTCCATGAGTATCCTCTCTTCCAAGTTTCCATTCAAGAAGGCTGTCTTCACATCCAACTGTTCAAGTTCGAAGACCTGATCTACCACAATAGCCAACATCAGCCGTATTGTAGTATGTTTAACCACTGGTGAGAAAACCTCATTATAATCAATCCCTTCTACTTGAGCATACCCTTTTGCAACCAGCCTTGCCTTAAATCTTGGTTCCTCAACTCCACTAATTCCTGGTTTGAGTTTGAAAACCCACTTGCACCCAATAACTTTCTGTCCGTCTGGTCTCTCTATCAATCTCCAAGTTTGATTCTTATCATGTGATGACATTTCTTCATCTGTAGCTTCTTCCCATTTCTCTTTCTCTCTGCCATTCATGGCTTCTTTAAATGATCTAGGTTCTTCAACCTCAAATAATTCAGCCATAGTCAGAGCATAAGCAGCCACATCTCCATCATCGAATCTACTTGGAGGTTTAATAGTTCTTCTTTCTCTATCTCTAGCCAAAAGATATGTATTCAGGTTTGGTGAAGAACTTTCTGATTCAGACCTTTGTTCTGAACTTTCTGAGCTTTCTCCAGCTGTTGTTTCTGAGATAGCTCCACCTCCAGCTGAAGATTCTCCCTCTTCCCTTACAACAACATTTTCATTTCTGTCACTTGGTAGAATAACATTCACCTTTTCTTTTCCTTTATCAACTGATTCCTTTGACAGCTTTCCAATGTCCTTATAAAGAGTATCCTCCCAAAATGTTACATCTCGGCTGATGACACATTTCTTTTCTTCATAACTCCAGATTCTGTAACCTTTAACTCCTTGAGGATAGCCCATGAAAACTCCTTTCTTGGCTCTGGGTTTTAACTTTCCTTGATCAGCATGATAATACACAAGACAACCAAACCTCTTCATATGTCCATAGTCTGGTTTTGAACCTGTCCAAACTTCTTCTGGAACTTCAAAGTTCAGAGGAGTAGAAGGTGTCCTGTTAATCATGTATACCACTGTGGAAGTTGCTTCAGCCCAAAATACTTCTCCAAGACCTGTTTCACTTAACAAACTTCTCACCTTTTCCAGAATTGTTCTATTTAGCCTTTCAGCTACCCCATTTTGCTGAGGGGTATAAGGGCAGGTCTTGTGCCTTAGAATGCCATGAATCTTGCAATGCTCATCAAACATTCTGTTGCAGTACTCAAGACCATTATCTGTCCTTAGAGTCTTCAGTTTCTTCCCACTTTGATTCTCAACTAAGACCTTCCACTCAACAAATTTACTGAAAGCTTCATCTTTTGTTTTTAAGAAATAGACCCATACTTTTCTTGAGAAGTCGTCAATAAATGAAATGTAGTACTGACACTTTGACAGGCTTGGAGTAACATTAGGAGAACCCCATAGATCAGAATGGACATATTCCAAAGGATCCTTGGAAGTATGTTTCCCAGTCTTGAATGATGACTTGTGAAACTTTCCAAGAACACAATGTTCACAGTTCTGCGGCTGTGAGATCTCTTCTGGCTTTATCATCTCCTTCTTAGCTAACAACTGTAATCCTTTCTCACTCATATGTCCCAATCTACTGTGCCATAGCATTGTTTTATCTCCCTGCTTTGCTGCTGTGTTTGCTTCTCCCACTACTGGTTCTCCATCAAGAATATAGAGAGTATTCTTATATTCACCTGCTAAAGCCTCTTTTCCATTGTAGAAAACTTGTAGCCTGAAATTCTTTGACTGAAACCAACACCCTTGTGATTCCAGTTGCCCCAAAGAGATCAGGTTCCTCTTTGCAGTGGATGAATATCTGACTTTTGTTAACACGACAGTGGTATTGTCATAGTTAACAATCTTCACCTTTCCTATAGCTGTAATAACACAGAAAGTATCATTTCCCATAAGGATCTTCCCACCATCAATTTCTTCAATGTCAAACATTAGATCCTTCCTATAGGTAAGGTGATAAGAACACCCTGAATCTAGAACCCATCCTTCTCTTGCACTTTCAGATGCAGTTAGCATCATTGGCTCAGAATCAATTCCCTTTCCTACACTGGCTTCAGCATTGCTACTTTGACCTTTCTTGGGACATTCTCTTTTAAAATGTCCCTCAGCTCCACAAATCCAGCATACTTTCTTGCTCTTAGCCTTCTCCTTTCCTTTGACTGCTTGTTTAGCCTTAGGATTAGACTTCTTTTCAGTCTTAGATTTGTGCTGAACATAGAGCCCTTCACCACTGGATTTAGTCAAATAGCTTCCTTTCTGCTTTAGCTCTGTCTCTAAGGAATATGCCGATTGAGTTATTTCCTTTAGAGTTATAGTCTCCTTACCACCTCTGTACTTTAGAGTGTGAACTAACTGAGCAAAATGTGATGGCAAGCTGTTTAGGAGGATTACAGCTTGGTCTTCATCACTTAACTCCACATCAAGACTTCCCAAATCTGAAACCAGTTTGTTGAACACATCCAGATTCTTGTCAAGATTCTTGTCTTCTTCCATTTTAAAACTGTAGAATCTTTGTTTAAGATAGAAACGATTTGACAAAGACTTATCCTGATACTGAGACTCTAATGCATCCCACATGCTTTGAGCAGTAGTATTCTTCATAACTTTTCTCAGCACCAAATCAGTCACACTCATGCCTATCAGATTTCTGACCCTTCTATCTTTAGCTACCCACTTAGGGTCTGATTCATCAGCTTTCTCTACTGAACCTGCTGGTGTTTGATCAGTCTTGAGGACTGAATCCAACCCGAGAATCTCAAGTTGAGCTAACACCCTGTGCTTCCATATAGAGAAATCCCCATCACCATCAAACTTGTCTACCTCAAACTTTCCCTGAGTAGGTTCCATCTATTCTTCTTACCAGATCTGATCAGAACCCAGAAATCCAAATAACAGGAACACACCACACAGAACACCCACACCAACAAAGAAAACCAGAAAACCACGATATACAACTAGATCCAAAACACCAAGATAACCCTTTTCTTAGAGTACACAGAAATACCCGAGATTCAGAAGTAAACCACCTAGACTCAGAAACCAGGTAGAAAACCTTTACCTGCTGAGGCTAGATCTTCTGTTGTGTGCTCTAAAGGCGATCTTAGGCTGAAAGCTGTCAACTTTATGACACTCAACCTTGCTCTGATACCATTTGTCACGTTTTAAACCAAGTTTCCAAGATTGTTCTGTTCTTTATCTTTGTTTGTTTGTGTTTGCAGAAGTAAGAACAAGAAGAAGAGAGAAGAGAGAAGACACAGAGATTTACAAGTTCCCAAGGCCAATGTGGCCAAGGTACGTCTTGGTGAGCTTAAACCAGCTCACAAGGTTTCCTTTAAGCGTTTAAAACCAGAGTTACAAGAAACCAGAAAGAACAACAACCCAGAGATTCAACACCAAGCTATAAAAGAAGATAAGCTCTTCTCCTATCTCTTAAAACCTCTCTATATCTTTCTGCTTGTAACTCACGCTCTTCTCATCTTGTCATTATGCCCTCTGCTTTTCCTTTTATACACCTAATGGACGCTCCCTTTTCTGGTCACTCCAAAACCTAGGCGTAACAAACCTTTCACCGCCAACGTCTCCTTTCGAGACCGTGTCCTTCAAGTGAAGACAAAAGCAGAGTGTTGACTGTTCACGTGGGCATACAGCTTTTCCAAACCTGGGCCTTACCAAAGACTTAACTTAAGCCCAATAGCTGTCTCAAGCCCACCTTGTTGAAACTGGATCGTTTCTTCACACTCTTCTTCTTCGGTGCCTCTCGGTGATATGAGCCCAAGTTTTGATGAAAGTGCTTGACGTTTTCCCGTCTAAAACGGCGTGGTGTGCTGCGACGCCGATGTGTATGGAGAAGGCAGTGGCTGAGTCATTAGTAACTGGTAACTTGGGAAGCAAGGCATGTAAATCTGAGACAGGACATTGTCCATAACCGGAAAGATTCAAAAAGTCAGCTTCACTCTCGGCTATTGTCACCAAAATGCCGTCGTCTGGACCGACCATGATACTCGGTTTGGGTTCGTTTATGTTTCCATGTGACGTGGCCAGTGAGAGGGAGGTAGCTGCTAAGGACAAGGGAGAGAGAGAGCTTGAGCTTAGGGAGGATGATGGAGTTGAAGTTCTCAAGGGTTGACTCGGTGAGTTTATAGAAGAAGACTCGTTTGACAGGGTGGAATAGTAGCCATGGTAGGCAAAGAAAGTTAAAGGGAGGGAGAACGAGTTGGCTGAGTTGAGAACATAGTCTGAGTCGGCGGTGGGGGTGACTCGGAATGTCTCAGTGATGTGTATCGTCATTGGTGAAATTGAGGAAGAAGGTGAAATTGAGTTAGCTAGGAGTCTCAAATGGGATATAGCTTGAGTAAAACTTTTAAAACCATTATAAATCATTTTATAACATTTATAGACACTTGTAAATCCCTTTAAACCCCTTATAACCGTGATAAATCATTCAATAATTGTAAAATTCTAAAACCCTTTAAAACCCCTTGTAAATCCTTAAAAACCACTTTAAAGAACTTGTAATACTTTAAAAACTTTTGTAAACCCTTTAAAAACCTTTGTAAACTTCTAAAAGCCTTTAAAACCCCTTGTAAATCCTTTTAAACCATTTTTAAATCTTTTTATGCCTTTAAATACACTTGTAAATCCTTTTAAAAACACTTGTAAATCCTTTTTAAAAAACCTTTAAAACCTTTAAAAATCCTTGTAAATTTTGAAAATCCCTTAAAAATCCTTGTAAATCCTTTTAAAACTGATATAAACTTATAAAAACTTTTTAAATCCATTGTAAATCATTTAAAAACCATTTAAAAACCTTTGTAAGCTTCTAAAACCCTTTAAAACCATTACAAATCTTTTTAAAACCATTTAAAAACTCTTGTAAATCCCTTTAAAAACCCTTGTAAACCCTTTAAAAGACGCTTTAAAAAATCTTGTAAACCCTTTTAAAAATTTAGCGGGAAATTTTTGTAATATATTTTTTTTTGCGGGGAAATTTTCTGGAAAATGTTTTGGCGGGAAAATTTTTCTCGGAATTTTTTTTGGCGGGAAAGTTTTAGGCGGGAAATTTTTGAGGGGTAAAATGGCCATTAAAATTTAAGAGAGGACAAAAATGAAAATGGAAAAAAGAGGGTATCATAAAAAGGTTATTGGTATCAGTTTCTCTAAAAAAATCAAAATCAATCTTCAATTCTTTGTTTTTCCGTTTATCATTAGTTGGTTCTCGACGTTTTTCTTGGTGTGTGAGTGTGATATCTACCTTTGTTCGTCAATTAGTCTTAAATACATATTTATATATTTATTATAGTAATAAAGTTTCAAATTCTTTACTGCGTTAGATAAATATACCTTTTTGGGTTTGAAATAGAATTTACTTTTATGTAAATCTCATTATACTTCATATAATAAGATTAAAATAATTTTATGTCAAAATCTTAGATCAATAACTTGACACGTGTCACGATCTCCTCAATGATTAACTTTAAAAATCATATTTTATATAATAAGATTTTCTTTTAATAACTTGCCACATGTCAAAATCTCAAAACATTATATGCCACGTGTCACGATCTTGTTAATGGCCACATGTCAAAATCTCAAAGCATTACGAGCCACGTGTCACGATCTTATTAATATCTTAATGACTAACTTTGAAAACCATACTTTATATAATAAGATTTTCTTTTAACAACTTGCCATATGTCAAAATCTCAAAACATTACTTGCCACGTGTCACGATCTTGTTAATGGCCACATGTCAAAATCTCAAAACATTACGTGCCATGTGTCACAATCTTGCTAACGACTAAGTTTGAAAACCAAGGTTTATATAATAAGATATGCGGGCGTATGTATCATTGACATTAAAAAAAGATGAGAACAAGCATATAGCTAAACAAGGGACCATCGATGCGATGCAAGGGACATAAGGTTATATACTCCTAATTAAATGTGGCTTAGTAGATTGTCTTACCACTTTTATAACTCTTGTTTGCATTAATATATTTTGAAGCTGATATATATATATATATTTTGTCAAAGAATATGATAAATATATAGGTGAGCTCTTAAGGAAAACTACATTGGGTGTACCCAAATAAAAAAAATAAAAAAATTTCACCTCCCATAAAATTTTATTTAGCTTCTAACTTTTTGGACAATCATCTCCCTATAGCTCTGCCGAGAACCCTCACCCACCGCTAATTTTTTTTTTTCTATCCCCTTTGTAAAGAATTCTCAACTACCAACAGATCTTATCCTCCTTTTTCTCCTCGTTCTTATTGAGTAATTCCTAAAGACGGTTAGTTTTTGGAATTGAGTAGATTTGGTTTCATGTTGATTCAATTCTTTGTCGTAATTTTAACTTATTTGTATAATTATTTCCATTGTTAGATGACGGATCTAGATCTTCATTGCCTTTGGAGAAGAACCATTGGGGAAAGGGTCAATTTCTACAATAAAATGAAGACCCTCTCCATGATTTTTGATGCTCTTGATGAAGAAGAGCGGGAGTGGTTAATTAAAATGTTGCTTGGCAGTTTGTTATAGTTCCCCGATAAGTCGGCCTGGTCCGCTTCCTTTGGTATTTTCCTCATGTCCCGACAACTTGAGGTGTGTAAGCCGTACGAAATAAGGGTCATATTTGGGGGAACTCCTGTGCATTTCTCTCTATGAGAGTTCAAGATTATGACCGGTTTGCGTCGCGGTCAGTTTCCAAATATGCAGAAGAGGAAGCTGAAAGGCACAACCGACAAAAAAATCCCATTTTACAGTACGCTTTTCGGGTTGGAGGAGGACGTGACGGTGGACCGGGTCATTACTATGTTGAAGAACAAAATTTTTGAGGATAAAGACTTGCGCCGAGTATATGCTTGTTTGGCTCTGGTGGATGGTTTCCTCATCCCCACTTCTCACTATCCTAAAATTGTTAAGGAACACGTTGAAATGGCTGAATATATTAATTTTTCCTTGCGTATCCTTTAGCGCATCTATCGTTTGAGATGATGATAAAGTCTATAGAAAAGAGATGTTGAGCAATTGGCTACAAATTGTGTTGCTACACAATGTTTATTATACGCTTTACAACTAGTGATCCCCGGCCATACAAGAAGGATCCCCGTCTGAGGAGCCGGACTGTAGAGATTCCGATGGAGGGCATGTTGCTGAATGTCGGCCAGCGTTCCTCTGTCCCATTGAAGATAGCCAACATGAAATGTTTATATGGCAATTGCGAGGTTAGTGTAGTGAAGTTCTTAATATCATTTAACTATTATGTTATCGGCCAATCTATAATATTATCTGGTAAAAATATATTTATCCCTTCCCACTTATCCCCTATACAGTTACTTGTTGACCCAATAAAATGCCCTGATCTGGAGTTGGAGCATGAAGATGATTTAATTTGGGAAGATAATAAGGAAAATCCGGCAGTTGATAACTGTAACGCCCCGAGCGCCATCTCTCCGGTGGGCCCCATGTTCACCACCAGCCCATGGGCCTACCTCTCTTAATGGGCCTTACGTCCTCTCACTAGGCCCATGAGCCCATTAATACCCTACGACCGGTTAGCTACGTTCGGGAGGCTTAAAGACTTGTTTATCGTCCCTACAAATTACCACATAATCTTTCCCTGCGTTTTGGCCTCACTCACACAATTCCGACAACCACCTCCCGGAAGGTGACCCATCGTTTGACTACTCCAGCATAAGCACGCTTAACTGTGGAGTTCCCTCAGGACCCTTGACCAAAATGATAAGTGCACTTTGGTGACATAGGTGGCCAAATCAAATCATTTAAACCTTTCCGCAAACTGGGGTCTCACAATTCTCTCCACTAACAGATCGCAACGTCCTCGTTGCGCACAATGATCGTCACCCCCTGCCAAAGGTTGCGTGGTTGGTGAGGCTGAGCCCGTTGAGATGGATATCAACCTGGTTAGTTGATAAGTTTAAAGTTATCCATTTTTAGAATTATCTTTTTGTACGTGCTAAACATTATTGCCGATCTTTGGGGAGACTATTATTTTGTCTAAAAACGCTATTTTATGGAGTTATCTATTAAATATTTTATTAGCGGATATATAATTTAATATGTTGATAAATTTATTTAAATGTTATATTTTTATATTACCGTAATAATTAAATTATCCGGTAAGGCTTATTATTCTCTCACCAAATGATCATGCGTATCGTATCTTCAATAATGTATTAAATTCTGGTTATATTCTCGAAAATAGAAAATACTCAAACATACCAGCTCAAATCTGTTGAAAGTATGAAGATATGATACTTTGTAAAATATTCTAATATATGTAGGTCGTTAATACCTCCAATCCCCAAGCAGAGGCTTCGGTTTATCTGGCTGAAAGTCAGGTTTGTTATTGAATCTTTAGTTTCAATTAATCATTCGTTTTAGTTATATTTTGGGTTTTTGAACATTTTGTCACGCTTGATCCGACTGCTCTATGTGGGACACCCACTCACTCTTTAGACCGAGGATAATGTGAGTTTAGTGTGACGTAAGCAGCATGGCACTCCTTGCAATATTAGTTCCATTGGACTAATTTTGGTTGTCCTTTTTCATAGGAATTTTTGACGCCTCCTCCTTTCGAGGACATAGTAACTAATGTGCTTATTGAAAAACAGGTAATTATATAGTTACTAATTTAGTGAATAATAGTTATGTTTCCAAAAAACAAAACAATTAAGTTATCTCCTAAAATGGCTCCACGACAAAAAGGCGGCTACAGTCGTGCCTGGTAGGAAGAGCAAAAGATTAAGGACTTTTTCTACAATGTTGGATATTCGTTTTCAGTACGACAAGAAGACTTAATTATTGGCTGGACACCCATCTCCGGGTTACAAGGATCCAAATTTCTTCGATGACCTTGAGCAATGATTCCAGAATTCTATTAAAAAGCTGAAGGCGTCAACGTACACTGGTATATTGTTTCTTTTTTAAGTTCTCTGTATAATACTTGATAGAAGCAGATAGTGCCAAGAAAAGATACTTGAATTTCTCTACGGCCTCACTATCCTTATTTGTGTCTAAATAGACCATAGAATTTGGGTTACTTTCCAACAAATTGAAGTAAGGTTGGATCAACGCATAGCTCCCCATAGCAGAACCCATCACGTTGTCCATGGCGATTTCTCTTGCCCTCCATGCCTTCCACTAAGATGCATTTAGACTAAACTCTTGCTTTAGAATCTTCCTTTACTCACTAGGCCGTGATCCTCTACCAACCCCAACATATTTTGTCCGCTTCAGTTTGCCAATCACAGTTGTTGACGCCA